ATTAAGGTTGAGATATAATAATTGTGATATACATGAATATAGGTGAATTTGAAATATGCGATTTGATATGAAAAGCAGGTAGTGAATATGGAACAGATGCATGGAAATACTGTAACCGACTAACACTTTGTACAATTTGTAATGGAAGATGGGTTTTTTTATTTTTATGTCTGTTTGTCGTTCAAAAACAAATAAACATTGTTTGTTAAAAAAAAGATGAACAAGTAAAAGAGACGATGATAGTATGGGCTAAAACCTTTGGCTACTCGATTAAGTTAGATCGATGGCAGAAATTATGCAATAGAAACTATAAATTAACAATGTCTACTGCCCACAAATAAAATCTTCATAAAATGTTTTATAGATGGCATTTTCGGCCCTCAAAACTAGCAAAGATGTTTAAGAATAAATTTGCAAAATGTTGGGAATGGCATCAGATACATAGTTCATACTATCATATGTGGTGGTGATGTCAAAAAGCAAAAAAATACTGGAGAAAAGTTGGAAAAAACGATAAAACAACATATCAACTTGAAACCAGAGACATTTTTGTTGGGCATTTTACCAGCTAAGTATAATAAAAGGAATGTATATCTGATTTTACATGTATTAATGGCAGTGAGCGCCTGTTCACCGCCGCCCGGCTCTCACGGCTTGTCGCCTTCGAAACGCCAGTGAAAGGCGCTCTGAACGGCTGGAGAGGGGGGTTGCGCAAGTGTCTGTTCCGCTTCCACTCGCGCGCCTCCCAGCCTCACGATGCCCTGGCCCAGCTCTCCCCGCAGAGCACAGGAACATCCGCTGCCGCTATCCCAGCATGGCTTTTTCGGCGGCTTCCAAACCGAGTCTTCCGGCAATGGCCGCTCTGGGCGTAAGCTCTTTGGTTGTGAGTCAGCTGCCCGCAGAGCATATGCCCGCTCACAAGGGAGCAGTCGCCCAGCAACTCCCCCCCCCCCGCTTCAGCTGGGCACAGCGCTGCTCACCAACGTAGGGTATCCCAAAGGTGCCAAGCAATGTGATCACCTTTATCCCCCCCCCCCCCACGGTTCCCGCGGCTTGGCACCTTCGGGATACCACTAGGTTGGTGAGTGACATTCTGCCTAGCCAGAGATGGGGGGGGTTGTCCAGGGAGCTTATTTGCAGGGGAGGGCTTATATTTTTGCCCACCAGAAAAATGTGGCAAGGCCTTAGTTTCAGGACAGGTCGTATTTTCGGGGAAACACAGTAAAATGGTTTGTACACAGTCAACACACTGTTTGAAGTTGGAATTTTTATATACTATAAAATAGAATAAAAACTTATTACAAAAAAAAAGGCCACCATTGCTCCAATTGGGGAGGGGAAAAGCTGCTGCTCTGGGTCCAGGGGCTGCCCTGCTGCTTTGGACATGTTGGGTCTCCTCCAGCAACAACCAGCCAAACGGACGCAGGGCTCTGTGTTGCATGGGGTGAAGAGGGGTGTGTGTGTGTAATACGCCCCTCTGCTGGACCACTCGCCCAGACACGGGCCGCAGAGGCCTAAAAGTACCTTGGAGATGAAGATCCCCTCGTCTGTGGGGTCAAAGGGGTTCCCCGCATGGCCCTTGGCGCCGCCTCGGATGCTGATGCCCAGTTTCTCCCCAGGCCTCTTTTCAATGCAGATCTCCTGCCAAGGACACACAAACCGGCGTCTTGGGGGGGGGGCGCACTCTGTGGGGCAGAGGAGGCTCTCCAGCCTCGACCGAAGGGTAGGGGGGGCATGCTTCCCTACCTCCATTCCAGGCGGCGGAGGGTCTCGCCTGACCACCATCCGTAGCTCCGGGTCTCCGGAGAGCAGAGCGTTGACGGCCTCCTGGTGAGTCGCCTGGCGCAGGTTGATGCCATTCACCTCCAGGATCCGGTCCCCCACACGCAGGCCACTGCGGGAGGCCAGGCCGTGCGGAATGACCTGTGCAAGGAGGCAGGAAGGAGGCGGATCTGCATAAGAGCCCCTCGGCAGCCCTTTCCCCTCGCCCGGGGGGGGACGGGGACAATTGTCCCGGCTGCACCGCACCCTTCCGCTGGGTGCCTGAGCACGGGGGGGGAGGGCAGTGCTTCTACCTTTGAAATGAAGACTCCTGGCTCGTGGATGCCAAAGGGGTGGCTGGAGTGGTCACTGCCTCCCACGATGCTGAGGCCAAGGGCCCCCCCAGCCTTCACCAGGCAGACCTCCTGCAAGCAAAGGCCGGGGGTTCCCCACGGTCACTGGGGTGCCAACTGCCCCTCCCAGGAGAGGGAGCCCAGTGGCCCACGCCAGCCCAGTGCATCCCCGGTCACCCACCTCGGTGGGGTACTGGCTCTCCGCGCCTTTGGGCAACTGGCTCCTGGGGGGGAATGGTGCCGCCTCCTCCAGCAGGGCCTCTCCTTGGGGGGGCAGAGGCGGAGGCGAGGGGGCCTGGGGCCCTCGTGGCCCCACGGGCAGGTCCTTCTCTTGTGGTGCCGCCTCTCTTTCTACCAGCAGAGCAATGGTGGGTGGGGAGGCGGTCAGCAGTGCTACAGCCTGATCGTGCCGAGCTTCTGTCATGTCCACCCCATTGATCTAAAAAGGCCCCAAATCAGTGTCAGCAGAGGGGGAGAGGCAAAAGGCAGGCTTATCTTTGTATTTGTAAGCCGCCCGGAGTCGTAAGGGATTGGGCGGCATATAAATTTATTAAATTGCGAATTATTTCAGGGTTCAAGAAGGGAACCAGCTCTAGGCTGCCTCCCAGTGGCGTATGGGGTGAGTGGCCCCTCTAGGACATGAGCTCTCCCCTACACTGCTATCAGGGGCAGGGGGAGGTGGAAAGGGACCTCACACCATCCAGCAGGGAAGATTGGGAGGAGGGCAGAGATTGGGGGGGG